GTGGGGTTGAGATATTTAGATATTTAGATATTTTCAGAAGAAACAATGAGTTTTTTTACAGATTTAATTTATTCCCTCTTTTTAAATTTTTTTATTTTTAATCATTTTTTTCCGGATTGGTTCCTTATCTTAGCTATGGTAAATAATGCTGCAATAAGCATAGTTGTGCTGGTACCTTTAGGATGGTCATGTTTGTGATCATTTGGGTAAATGCCCAAAAGTGGGATTACTGGGTCATAGGGGAGCTCTATGTGGAGTCTTTGGAGGAACCTCCATACTGCTTACCAAAGTGGTTGAATAAGTTTACACTCCAATCAACAATGCAGTAAGGTTCCCTTCTGTCCACATCCCCTCCAGCATCTGTTGTTATTAGAGTTCTTGATTATAGCCATTCTAATTGGGTGAGGTAGTATCTCAATGTTGTTCTGATTTACATTTCTTTTATGGCTAGGAAGATTGAGCATTTCTTCATGTGTCTATTGGCCATCCTTCTTTTCTCTTCAGAGAAGTTTCTCTTTAAGACTTTAGCCCACTTATTTATCTGGCAGTTGTTTCTTTGAAGATTTGATGTTGGGGGATTTAATTTTTTGAGTTCCAGGTATATTTTAGATATGAGACCCTTGTCCATTGTATGACTAGTGAAGATCTTCTCCCAATCCTTGGGCTTTCTATTGATCTTGCTATCTCTGTCCTTTGCAATGCAGAAGCTCTGCAATTTCATGCTATCCTGTTTGTCCAACCTTTCTTTGATTTACTGTGTTTCTGAGTCTCTTTTAAGAAAATTTTGGCCTGTGCCAAGGAGACCTAGGGTTTCTCCTGTTCCATCCTGTAATGTTTTCAGGGTGTCTGCTTTGACTTGGATGTCTTTGATCCATTTGGAGTTGATTCTGGTGCAGAGTGATATAGAAGGATCTAGCTTTAGTTTTCTACAAGTGATTAACCAATTTTGCCAGCACCGTTTACTGAAGAGGCTGTCTTTCTTCCATTCTATTTTTTTAGCTCCCTTATTGAAGATTAGATGGCTATAGCTCTGTGGTTTCTTTTCTGGGTTTTCAATTCTATTCCCTTGGTCCTGAGATCTGTTCTTTTGCCAGTACCAAGCTGTTTTGTTTACTATGGCTTTGTAGTAGAGTTTGAAATTTGGTATTGATATTCCTCCAGCACCGTTCTTTCTATTAAGGATCGTTTTTGCTTTTGGGGTCTTTTGTTGTTCCATATGAATTTTTGGATTGCCTCTTCTATTTCCTTGAAGAATGAGGTTGGAATATTGATAGGTATCGCATTGAATTTGTAGATAGTCGTGAGAAGTATTGCCATTTTCACGATGTTGATCCTTCCAATCCAGGAGCATGGGAGGTTTTTCCACTCTCTAAGTTCTGTTTTGATTTCCTTTTTCTTGCTGCTCTTTGTCAAGGAGGTTCAGATGTTTCATTAAATTGTTGGTTTCAGATTCTCCAATTTGTTGATGTAGGAACTCAGAGCTATAAACTTGCCTCTGAGTACTGCCTTTGCTGTGTCCCAGAGGAACTGGTAAATTGTGTGTTCATTTTGATGAATATCATGAACATTTGAATTTCCTTTCTAATCTCTTCCATTACCCACTGGTGATTCAACAGTGTGTTGTTTAGCCTCCATGTGTTACACAGCTTTCTTTGGTGGCTTTTGGTGTTGAGTTCTACTTTTCTTCCATTGTGAGAATGCAGGGCATAACTTCAATGTTTCTAAATTTGGACAGGTTTGCTTTGTGACCTAAAATGTGGTCTATTTTGGAAAATGTTCCATGTGCTGCTAAGAAAAACATGTACTCTGATGGGACTGGGAGAAATATTCGGTAGATTCCTGTTAAATCTAGTTGATCTGTGCAGTTGTTTAGATTTGCGGTTTCTCTGTTGAGTTTTATCCCCTAGTGGGGATAATGGTGTGTTAAAGTCCCCAACAATTAATGTCTTTGGATTTATGTGAGATTTGAGGGAAAGTATGGTTTCTTGGATAAATTTGGGTGCTCCATTGTTTGATGAATAGATATTTAGAATTGTAATATCTTCCTGAAGGAGAGATTCCTTAATTAGTATGTAGCGACCTTCTTTATCTCTTCTCACTAATTTTAATGTGAAATCTATTTTATCTTATATTAGAATTGCAAGTCCTGACTGTTTATGCTTGATAGATTTTGTTCCAGCCTTTCATTTTCAGAATATATTTGTTTTTATGGGCAAAGTATGATTCTTGAAGGTAGCAGATAGTAGGATCTTGCTTTTTAATCCAACTAGACAGTCTATGTAACTGAAATGCAGAGTTTAGTCATTAATGTTGAGAGTTAGGACTGAGTGGTGTTTGGGAGTTCCTGACATGTTATCCACCTTCTTGGGGGATGCAAAAGTTGGGTTCTTCCTATACTTCTTGGATTCTCAGTTTGGGTGTGGTTTCTTGGCCTTTATTGTGGTCTTGTTGGTTTTCTATGTGTAGAACATTTTTAAGTAGCTTTTGTAGGGCTGGTTTGGTGGAGATATAGTTTCAGTTTTTCTTTGCTATGGAAGATTTTCATCTGACCTCCTGTTATGAGGAGAGTTTAGCTGGGTACAGCATTCTTGGTTGATAGTTGTTTGTCTTTAAGGCATGACATACATTATTTCACACTCTTCTTACTTTGTCTCTGCTGAGAAATCTGAGGTTATTCTAATTGGTTTCCCTTTATAAGTCATTGATCTTTTCTCCTTGACAGCTTTAAGAATCTTTTTTATCTGAATTGATCCTGTGTGGATTCTAATGTTATGGTAGGATGTCCTTTTCTGGTCTATTTGGTGTTCTAAAAGCTTCTTGTATCTGCATAGGCTTATCTTTTTGCATGTTTGGGAAGTTCTCTGCTAGGATCCTGTTAAATAAATTTCCTAGAACATTAACTTCTGTCTCTAGATGCTCACCTACACCAATTATCCTCAGATTAGGCCTTCTGATGGTGTCTTCCAAATGTTGAATAGATCTATCATATCTTGGATACTTGTATGTTCTTTCTCTATAATATCTAGGCTATCTTCAATCCCCAAAATTCGATCTTCTGCATGGCCTAACCTACTGTCAAGAATTTATAATTTGTTTTTATTTCCTTTTCCCCAACTGATTTGTTTAGTAAGGCATGAAAAATGCATTCTTGAAAAGGTCAAAAGCTATGTACATATGACCATATAAGATGATGCTAAGCGAAATGAACCCCAAGACAGGGACACAAGTGGTTTTTTCTTTCTTGCTATTGTTTCTAACATATTTATAATGTACCATGTGATTTTTTTTGTTTCTTTGTATGTTCCTCCCCCATGGTATAACCTCTGTTTTCACTGTATTTGTATTTGTATTTGCACTGTATTTGCATCTTGTATATACACTTCTCTAATTTGGGGAGGGGAAGGGAAAAAACAAAATGCTTAAATAGGGATACAGGTTGACCCATTGTAACAATCAGATGTACAAGATACTATGTTGAAAATGAACTTTACAATTTTAGCAGGGAAGGGGTTGGGGGTGGGGGGTGGATGTAGTTGTGGAGGTGGGAGGGAAGGGATGGTAGGAGAAAAACAAAAGAGGAGGTAACAATGCTTGATAGGAAATGTACTCATTACCTTGTTCATGTAACTATAACACCTCTGTACAGTATTTTTACAATAAAAATGTATTAAAAATACATTCTTGAATTTTCTGAGTTCTCGTCACATGCATATAAGTATGTGCTTTGTTAAATGTGTTAGCTTTATGGTGGTAATCATTTCAAAATGTTTAATATGAAAATATTATCTAATATTCCTTCAAAATATCTAATTTTCTGTATAGAATTGACTTAGCTAAGGATTAAATATTTTGAAAATTGTATCCATGCTTCCATAAACTTATTTTTGGAGAGTTATGTGTTTTAGAAATGTGTTCAACAGATTCTTAGTCGAAGGTATGATAAAATGCACATTTTAAAAATAGGAAATTCACTAATTGTTGTCACAGTTATGAAATACCACTAAAAATTCTCAACATTTAGAGAAGCCAAATTTCCTGGTACAAGTCATACATTAGTAAGATTATTTGTGATATTTCATTTCATGAAAGTGACTGTAGTTTTCAATTATATCAAATCAATATTAAGTTACTGACTTTTTACATTTTCATGAGAAATAGAAAATTTACATAAGTGCTTGTCAAAAAGAGTTCAGCATAATGAAACTGTAATATTCACTATGAGTAAATAAGGATGGCATAAAATTTTATTTGTAATGTTTAAGTTTACATTCCTTATATATTTATGTTGAATAATAAAATGTTAGAAAGGAAAACATTAACATTGTTTCTTTTCTTCATGATATTTATCAAAGGGCTTTTCATCTGAGCAGCCTTTCATCTGAACAGCACAAATTGATCTCTGTAGGAAACTTAGTCATAGGATTTGGCTTTGGACCTCAACAGAGATTCAATCCTCCTTAGTAGGGGACATGATTTGTCCTGTTGTTGCTATGTTTTATTAATTGACTTTGTCTCCATTCAAATGGAAGTTGTCCTGGATCCTATTTGCATTTGTCACTCACATAGTTTCTGTATTATACCACACCAGTGTACTATATCATTCATAGTCCTTTCATCCTTTACTCTATCAAACATATTTACCTGCACCTTCACCTGGTCATGACCTAAAGGACTAGCTGTTGGTGGCCATCACACTTGTATTGCTCAATTGAACACACAGTGCACAAGGCTGTCTTCAGAATCACCTCTCTTATGCAGGAGTCCAACATTACCTGTCAGAAGTATTTCTGCTCTGCACTGTAAGGGACTTCACATCTCTCACACTGTCCACTATCACAACTCAGGCATTCTACCTCACTAGGTGTGGAACCTCTTTTCCAGTGATTGAACCAACAGGCTTGCATAGCTCCTTCATGTCTTTGCCAAGAGGCTAAATCCAGTGCCTTAGGAGGGGCCTCCAGTACATAAACTACCTGTCCCTTCTCTATTTCTGCCCTTAGTTGTGTACTTTCTGCACATAATCCCAAGCAAACCCTCTGGCTCCACCTCATGTCTTAGCTGAATTTGTACCTTCTGCTCACAGAGCAGGCATAGAACTTGCCTGACTCAAGTATCTTGCAAATCAGTCCTTGTCCAGCAGCCTCCAAATGATGAGAGAGCAAGTCTCTGGGAGTGAAGGAAATGTAGGAATTGATCCCAATCAATAAGAGCCACTTCTGTAGTCTCAGACCCAACAGGAGAATTACTGAATCAAGATTTTCAGGCACTTGTATCCAGGTGTCCTCATTTTGTAATTCAGAATTTTATTAGTACTGAATCAGGGCCCTGACACTAGCATTAAAATATGCTCATGGGTGCTAGCCTTGGACAAATAGGCTCAGGGACAATGACTAGGCCTTGAGTTTAAGACCCAAAACTAAACAACAACAACGAACTTTTCATGGACAATTACTCTTCTAATCTCTGTTACTCCCAAGATGAAGTTGTGGGTTGCAGTCCTCCTCATCCTCTGTCTGAAAAGATGTAAGGTTTCTTATTTTTACTGTAAAGAACTTGAAAGTATACCAGTCTGATATATTGACTATGCAATATAATTTTGCCTGAAGAAAACAGGTGGAAAATGTTCTTTGTGGTTTCTTTTCCATTTTTCAAAATCAAAGCCTTCTCACGGAAATACTTCCTAATTCTAGAACGTAAAACTTGCCTTCAAATTGCCTGAAGTGGCAGGATTTTATAAATCAAATGGGAAAATTTGTATTATCCATTTCTGTCCTTATGCAATCTTTAGGCATATTAACAGAGGTAGGACCACCATCCTGTCCGTAAGAAGCTGAGTGTATCCATACCTAGGTGGGGGTATCTGGGTTTCTGATACTCATCAAAATAGTGGGTGATAGAAAAAGCTAAAGTTCTGATTTTTGGCTAGTTGAAAGGTCGACAAGCTTTAGCTTCAGAAAACCATGCTTATCAACCATTTCTTTACAATCTCTTGGCTGAATTACTTTTGAAATGTATGACAGAAATGACTCCATTTGGAATCTGACAACATCCCCTGTCTCAATGCTTATTTCCATACTATTAGAATCTGAATGGTTCTTCATCACTGGAATAAGCTTTGTCCCTAGAGGCCTTTTTTGTTGCCTGGATGTGATGTCCCAGTAGTTCTTATCCAAAGTTGGAGTGAAATGACAGTTTAGAAGGGACTCGGTGCTAAAAAGACATCTTATGATCTAATTGGGAGAAAAACAATTTAGAAGGAATGTCTCTTATACTAGTCTTGAAGTCTATTAGGGTAGTTTTCTTTAAATACATATTTTATTGTAAAAATACTACAGAGGGGTTACAGTTACATGAGTAAGGTAATGAGTACATTTCCTATCAAGCAGTGTTGACTCCTTCTTTGTTTTTCCTCTACCATCTGTTCCTTCCCACCTCCACAATTACTCCCCTCCCGCCCCCCATGGCTCCCCGCTGGGTGAAGTTGTAAAGTTCATTTTCAACATAGTGTCTTATACATCTCATTGTTACAATGGGTCAACCTGTATCCTTATTTAAGCATTATTTTTCCTTCCCCTCCCCAGATCAGAAAAGTGTATATACAAGATGCAGGTCACTGGAATCAAATACAGTGAAAACAGGGATTATACCATGGGGGAGGAACATACCAAAGAAACAAAAAAAAAACACAGTACATTTTAAATACATTAAAAACAATAGCAAGAAAGAAAAGACCCTTTGTTCCCTGTCTTGGTGTTCATTTCCCTTAACATCATCTTATATGCTCATATGTACATAGCTTTTGACTTTTTCTGCTTGCCTTAGACATACTTTTTTATTGCAAATAAGGGAAACCATGGGACCTATGTTTCTTTGGGCCTGGCTTACTTCATTTAATATAATTCTTTCCAAGTCTTTCCCTTTCCTAACAAATGGGGCAATGTCCTTCCTGATGGAGGCATAGAATTCCATTGTGTGTGTGTGTGTGTGTGTGTGTGTGTGTGTGTGTATCACATTTTCTTGATCCATTCATCTACTGAGAGGTATCTGGATTGGTTCTACATCTTAACTATGGTAATAATGCTGTGATAAACATAGTTGTGCTGGTAGCTTTAGTATAGATTTGTTTGTGATCGTTTGGGTAAATGCCCCAAAGTGGGATTGCTGGGTCATAGGGGAGCTCTAGGTGGAGTTTTCTTTTTTTGGGGGGAGGGGAGGGTGCGGTCGTGGGGCCTGAACTTTGGGCCTGGGCGCTGGCTGTCCCTCAGCTCTTCAGCTCAAGGCTAGCGCTCTACCACTTGAGCCACAGCACCACTTCCGACTTTTTTCTTTTTGCTTATGTGGTGCTGAGGAATCGAACCCAGGGCCTCATGCATGCAAGGCAAGCACTCTACCACTGAGCCACCTTCCCAGCCCTATGTGGAGTCTTTTGAGGAACTTCCATACTGCTTTCCAAAGTGGTTGAACAAGTTTACATACCCACCAACAATGCAGTAGAGTTCTTGAGGGTTAATTTCAAACCCTGCTACTTTACCAAAGTTTCAAATCAGCTTGAGTAATTTGGGAATGGAGTCCATGGGATTCTTTAAATACACGATCATGTCATCTGCAAAGAGGGAGAGTTTTTAAGGTGGTTTTTTATCTCCCTGTTGTTACAGGTAAGAATACATGTTGGGGAAGGGTAAGGTTAATGAAACACATTATAAACCTACATGGAAAGTAACAATGAATCCTTTCCTCCTATATATGTAAGTTAATAAAAATAAAAAAACGCATAGAAATTTAAGAAGCAAGGTTCATTAACCTCTTTAACTCAGAAGGTAGTAGATTTATAAAGAATTTTCCTCATTCCTGCATACAAGGCTTATATTAACTTGGGGAAAAGAAATGAATTAAACATACAAGAGAGCAAGCAATATTTAGCATATCACTCTACAAATTTTTTTCTCAGACATACAGGGCACAAAGTATGTTAGAATCACTTAAAATAATAGTTGTTCACCGTGTTATAAGATACAATTATTTTGCTTAGGTAAAAAAACTCTTCCTTAAAATCAGTTGCTTAAGAAAATATTTATTAATGGCAGAACAGTGTTCTTCAGATAGCTTCGTTAGTATAGAAAAATAGAATGAGGTGTTAATTAAAATATCATTTTGATAACTCTTGCATTATAGCTTACCACACACAAATATGTTATGATATAGAAAAATAGAATGAGGTGTTAATTAAAATATCATTTTGATAACTCTTGCATTATAGCTTACCACACACAACTATGTTATGAGCTCCTTATACTTTACTGTAAAACTTAGCAACTTTTGGGCTGGGAAGGTGGCTAAGTAGTAGAGTGCTTGCCTTGCATGCATGAGGCCCTGGGTTCGATTCCTCAGCACCACATAAGCAAAAAGAAAAAAGCCGGAAGTGGCACTGTGGCTCAAGTGGTAGAGCGCTAGTCTTGAGCTGAAGAGCTGAGGGACAACGCCCAGGCCCAAAGTTCAGGCCCCACGACCGGACCCAAAAAAAAAAAAAAAAAACAACTTAGTAACTTTTATTGCAACTTTTTGTTCTATACTATTCTCTGGGGGGGGGGGGGGGGGGAGGGGAGCATTTTTGCTCACCACTAACCATATACCACTTGTTCCACAGCTCCACTTCTAGATTGTTTGATAGTTAATTGGACATAAAAGGCCCAAATCCATCCTGCCTAGGCTGGCTTTAAACCGAGATCCTCAGCTCTCAGCCTCCTGAGTTGCTCAGATTACAAACATAAGCCACTGGTGCTCAGTCATTCTTTTGTTTAGGGAAAATCCTTTGGGACAATGCTTACCCTACAAAATCGTTTTATCCAAAAGCATTTCCTTTTATTATCTTAAGAATTTGTATGAAGGTTTTCCATTCTACAGGTCAGTTTGTGAGTACAGTGCATCTTCATCAATGTCATGCCTTTTATCATTCTCCCTATCTCTCCCAACCACAACAATTCCAATTCACCTTGATCATTTACATTCACTGAATATTGACTTCATTAACCCACCCTTCCTCTCTTTGTCTGACCATCTCCCCTTGATGTCAGTCCCTTCCCTTACCAAGGCATATTGCAGCTTCCTAGTTGTCATTATGTTAAACTGTTAGTTGCTCAGTGGACTTGCAGTATTAGAATCCTTCCCTGCACATACAATACTTCATTTGTGTGTGTGTGTGTGTGTGTGTCTGTGTGTGTGTGTGTGTGTGTGTGTGTGTGTAATTTAAGCCTTGCTGTCTTCCTGAGCCTTACTGACTTCACTAAACCTATTTTTTTCCAGGTTCACACATTTCTCTGCAGATATGTGTGAAATATGTATTTCCCAAAAGTTCTATTTTCTTTTTTTATTTTTTTTTATTGTGAACATACTGAACAGAGGGGTTACAATTACATGGGCAAGATAATGAGTACATTTCTGATCTATTTGTCCATTGGAGGCATCTGGGAAGTTTCTATAACTTGTCTGTGATGAATAGTTTAGCAATGAAATAGGTATGCAAATAACTTTCCTGTACCCTGATTTGTAATTTTTGGATAAATGCCCAAGAGTGGTATATTTGGATCATAATGCAGTTCTAGGTTTAGGGTGTTGTCTTTTGTTTTGGGTTTTTTTGCCAGGACTGGAGCTTGAACTCGGGGCCTGGGCACTGTCCCTGAGCTTCTTTTTGCTCAAGGCTAGCACTCTATCACTTGAGCCACAGACCCACTTCCATCTTTTTCTGTTTATGTGGTACTGAGGAATCGAGCCGAGGGTTTCATGCATGCAAAGCAAGCACTCTACCACTAAGCCACATTCCCAGCCCTTAGGTTTAGTTTTTTGAAGAATCTAAAAACTTCCAGAGAAAGCTTTACCTGTTTAAATTCTCACCAACAATGTAATAGGGTTTCTCTTCTCCTACATCCCCAGAAGCAACTGTTGTTGTTTTTATTTTTCATAATTGCCATTGAGGTGAGATGGAATCTCAGTGATGCTTTGGTTTTCATTTCCTTCGTAGCCAGAGATATTGAGCATTTTTTCACACGTTTATTGTCCATTGTTACTTCTGATAACTATTTAGCTTGTTTGCCCATTTACTTATTGGATCAGATAATTTCTTTTTTGAGGGTTTAATTTCTTGACCTTTCTGTATATTCTCAATATTAAGTCCTTGTCAGCTGTACAGTTAACACAGTTCTTCTATTCCATAGGATAATATTTAGTTTAGTAAGTGCATCCTTTCTTGTGCAGAAACATTTTAGCTTGATGTAATCCTATGTGTCAATTCTCTCTCTGATTTCCTGAACCCCTGACTTCTACTCAAAAATTTCTCCACTATGTCCATGAGTTCACATATTCCTCCTACTCCTTGTAAGGTAATTTCAAGATTTCAGGTCTTACATTGAGGTTTTTGATACCTTTTGAATTGATAGTAGTAAAAAATGACAGAGGCATTCAGTTCTGCATATGGATATCCAATTTCCCTGGTCTGATTTTTTGAACAGATGATCTTTTTGTCAACTTACATTTTTGTACCCCTTGTCAAGTATTAGATGGCTGTAAGTATATAGGTTACCTCTGAGTGTTCTAGACTGTTACATTGTTCTCCAGGCCTATTTTTGTGCCATTACTAAGCTGTTTCTGTCACTATAGAGCGATAGCAAAATTGGAAGTCTGGAATTGTGATACTTCCAATACTGTCCCCCACATCTGGCTTGCTTTGGTCATTCTGGGTGTCTTGTGCAGTTTCCTATGAATTTTGGAATATAAATCTTAGGGATAATAAATATTGATCAGTGGATCATTTCCACCAGGTAACAACATAGTGTATGTTTGCTTGGACACAAGTGAACATATTAGATCTATCTTGGAAAGGTCTGAATGCACTGAAAGGGAAATGAGCTACCTGGCCCTGTATAGTGTGCTCTATGTAGCTCAGTGAAACCTCTAGGCTGACCATTTCACTATCTGCCAACTCAGAAACTAATTGTGACAATAAAAAAAATTATTTATATTTCTATTTTTAAGTACTTGTATAAAGAAAATATTAGGTGATGAGAAGAAATGTTCTAAAAATATTGGCTGGGTCTTAACAGCTGTGATGAATGAGTTTGCAAGATAATGTAATAATCTTATTCTATGATTCTCTTGTTTTGGCCTAGTATAGCCAAAAGATTTTCTAAGAAAATTACATAGTTAAATGTGAGAATAACGAACAGGAGAACCTTAAAGTTACATTGTTAGTGAGCCAATGACTGATTCAGAAGAGAACATGATTATTTAACTTGCTATATGTGTGTATATGCTATGTACACATATAAATGTGTGTCTATCTTTTTTTTTTTTTAGTTGGTCATGGGGCTTGAACTCTGGGCCTGGGCTCTGTCCCTCAGCTCTTCAGCTCAAGGCGAGCGCTCTACCACTTGAGCTACAGCGCCACTTCCAGTTTTCTGGTGGTTTATTGGAGATAGGAGTCTCATGGTCTCTCCTGCTCGGGCTGGCTTTGAACCGTGATCCTCAGATCTCAGCCTCCTAAGTAGCTGGGATTACAGGCGTGAGCCACCAGCGCCTGGCTGAGTGTGTCTATCTTTTTAAAATTATTTTCCATACTTCTGAGATGATTGTTGACTTATAGGAGAATTGTAAAAGTAGTAAATTCCTGTATATTCTTAAGCTATTGTCTTGTTTTGATATCTTGCTGAAGAACACTTGTCAAAATCAAGACATTAACCTTGCTACAATGCTATCCTAGTAGAGTTAAAAGTAGATATTTTTCCTAATGTCTCTTACTGTTCCAGGATCCCATCCAGGGTCCCATCTTGAACTAAGTTGCCATGTCTCTTGTTTTATCTTCCAATCTGTGATAGCATGCTATACATAACAGGATACCTAATGTGTTAATGTGTTTCTGGTGTTGTTAATCTTGATTGCAATGTTAAGGTGGTGTTTGCTTGGATTTTCTTTTGTATGCTTGCTATGTTTTCCTTTATAATTACTAAATATTTGCTAGATACTTTGAGACTATGCAGCTGTCCTGTTTCTGCTTACACTTCTGCAACTATTTTTATGAATTGGCAGATCTTGCTTGTGGCATTTAAAACAGTAGTATTCTGATGGTGATTTTCTATTTCCCTTATACTTAATAATTGGAATTCTTCTATAAGGAAGAGTTGTTGCTGTTTCTGGATTTATATTTTTAATTATAATAAGATATATTCAGGATAGGTACAAACTTAGAACCTAAAATTGCAGGCCAAACTAAAATGAGTCCAAATAACCATGTCAAAAATACTAAGTAATCTGTCTGAGAAAATATAATTTAAGAAGGAAAATCATATTATTAGGAATTGGTTTAACTTTTGGCTTCAAATTGAAATTTTTTGAAACTTCACATCTGGAGTTTTTTAAAGTGTCAAAATTTATATTACTTTGGGGGATCATTTGTGTCAACGTCTTGAATAAAGTTTTAAAAAAAAGAAATTATTCAAAGCAGTTTATAAGTTCAATCCATCTTGATCAATGTCACCTGTTTCAACATCCTCCCCCATCCTTCCTAACCCAACCTCTCCCCTCATGACAACAAATGTATATTGATGAAATAAAAGCTACCTTTAAGCCCATGGCTTGAGGGTCAGATTCTAATAGTCGTTAAAATGGGCATATTAACAATGGCATTGCAGCTTTCCTTTTTGCAGGTTTTTTTGTTTTTTTATTTTTTATTGTAAAGGTGATGTATAGAGAAAATGCAGTTACATAAGTCAGGTAAAAAGTGCATTTCCTTTGGAAGAGTGCGACTTCTCCCTCATTCTCTCCTAGGTTTTCCCCTCTCAACTTCCTCCCCTCCAAGTGATATAATTCATTTCTAACACAAAGCTTTGAGAGAACTCAACCAAAGGCTCCTGGGTCAGTCCTGAAATCAGTTTTGACTCCTGAGGAAAGGTTGGTGGTCTTACAGGCCCCTGTGCCCTGCGTGGGCCCACTGGCCCCTTGGCCCATGCTGGAGTTATCATGCTGCACTGACTGCAGACTAATGGGCAGTAGAGGTCTTATTGTTGGCTTCTCCCCCTGTCCAAATGTACCTTCAGGTTTTGCCTATTGCATGAAGGCCTCAATCAATACTGCCATCTTATCCTCAGCTGTCACCAAACCAAGATTTTCCTTCCAGAACCTTCTATTTTTGAGTTCTAGCCCAGCCTAGGGTCCTAACCAACTTCTGCCACACCAAATGAAGTCTCCATACAAAGTCTGTTTAATTTAGACTGAGCACTATAAAGAAATTGCTTGCTTTGGTTTATAGCTCATATACAAGTGAGCCAAAAGAGTTGGGCTGTAGGTGCCACAGATAATGGTCTTGTCAAAGTGCTGAGATCTCTGATTGTGAACTTCATGCAAGGATGTATAAGATCCAGAGACGTGAAAAAGTTAAATGAACTTCAAAATTCATGGAGGGGACAGAAAATAGAAGTTAGGGTATGATGTGTTACAAAGAAGCAGAACAAACATTGTGATAATTGGGGGGGGGGGAACAAGTGACCTAGCAGTGCACAAACATAAAGATGTAAGAGTGCTTGGATGGTTCCTGAGGGTCTAGAGAAAATACACAGTGGCCAGTGCCCACTGTGCTCCACATCCCAGCTTCTATCCCTCCCACAGACTGAGATGCATTATTTCAGGTTCATGTCAGGAAGGAATCAGGGTTCACCTACCATCCTGCTCTCTAGAACTTTTGTCCTTTAGATTATGGTCAAGATTACCAGGGAACTGGAGCTTCTTGGTTGAATGCTAAGATCTCAGGAGAACAGTTTCTTCAGGGTCTGGACTTAGGGTTGTATTAACCACCCCTAGAGATGTTGGCCCTCTAAAGATTCAGTATGTTCTGTAACACAGACCAATATACTGTAACATTCCTTGAATGGTTATTGGAAATCTGAAAATCTAATTTACAATTTAAGTCTTTAATACAAAGGCAGAAATCTTCTAAAGTCTAACTGTGGATATTACTACAGGATGAGGTTTGTGGTAAGATCTTTGACGTTCTCAAAAATTACATAACTCAGAGACTGGGAATGTGGCTTAGTGGTAGAGTGATGGCCTAGCATGCATGTAGCCCTGGGTTTAATTCCTCAGTACCATATACACAGAAAAGTCCAGAAGTAGTGCTGTGGCTCAAGTGGTAGAGCACTAGCCTTAAGCAAAAGAAGCTGAGGGACAGTGCCCAGGCCCTGAGTTCAAGGCCCAGGACTGGCAAAAAAAAACCCATATATATATCAGCCAGGTACCAGTAGCTCACGCCTGTAATCCAAGCTATTCAGGAGGTCTGAGATCTGAGGATCATGGTTCAAAGCCAAACTGGGCAGGAACATCTGTGAGGCACTTATCTCCAATTTAACCATGAGAAAACCAGAAGTGGCACTGTGACTCAAGTGGTAGAGCAGTTACCTTGAACTGAATTGCTCAGAGACAGCATCCAGGCCCAGGCCCAGACCCAGAGTTCAAGACTGACGAATGACAAATATATATATATATATATATATATATATATATATATATATATATATATATATCACTCCAGTGTTAGTGACTGGTTCTAAGGTTGTTGTGTATTCAACACCTTCCCTTCTCAGGATAAAGGAGCTTTTACAATGAGCTAAAGCTACATATTCTGTCATTCACCCCTGGAAGTGTCCTTTAAATTAGGTGTAATCAGTAAAGGGAGAACAACAAAAGTGCTACTACATCTGGAAAGATCAAAGTAAGAGTATTTCTCCTACATCTGTATGCCCACATCAGAAGAACATTGTCTCCATGTTCAAATATATTGGTCCATGAGCTTTTGTGATAAAGGAACAAAACTGGTGACATTCTATCACTTGAATTATAGTGCCATTTGTGGCAATTTTGGTGGTGGTTAATTGGAGATAGTCTCACAGTCTTTACTACCTAGTATGGCTTACAACTGAGATCTTTAGATCTCATACTTTTTTTTTTTTTTTTGGTCGGTCATGGGGCTTGAACTCTGGCCTTGGGCCCTATCCCTGTGCTCTACCACTTGAGCTACAGGGCCACTTCCGGTTTACTAGTAGTTTATTGGAGATAAGAGTCTCACAGGCTTTCCTGCCTGGGCTGGCTTTGATCCTCAGATCTCAGCCTCCTGAATGGCTAGGATTACAGGCATGAGTCACCAGTGCCTGGCTCCTAAAGATCTCATACTTTTAAATAACTAAGAATACAGATGTGAGGCACAAATTTCCTGTTAGATCATGAGTTCTTAGCTACTTGATCCAAGCAGGACTCACTGTTTCTAAAGAACAGGTCAACAAGCAAAAGGTCTGTAACATCACTCTGTCATTTGAAAAGGGCCTTTCATAATCAGTTGGTAAAGGTCTGTTTTCCTATCATTCCAGAAACCATATTCAAATGCTTACATAGAATATTTTCAAGAATTTGTTGTTAGTGTTGTTCATATTAGTGGTCCTCAGGTTTGAACTCAGGGGAAAACATTTGTGTGGCTTCCTTTACCATTTAAAACCATGCCAGAAGCCCTTTTGTATCACTTATTTTTCCAATTAGGGTCTTCTTTCTTTGTCTGGGCATTTCTAGACACCAATTTTTATAAGTTTCAGAGACTTTGCCTTAGTGCTCTGACTTGGAACAGGGATCCTCAGATCACAGCCTCCTGAGTAGTTAAAATTACAGGCATGAGCTACCAACACCTGGCTGGTTAAACATTTTTTTATAGTCATCTATAATTCTTTGACTAAGTTATTTTCATTTATATTTAATTAGCATATATTAGTTGAACAAAGGAGGTTCATTGTGTTATTTCTATTTATCCATACAACGAATTCACCTTCACTCACTTCCCTTCTTCATCCCCTTTCTTAAAACAATATCAGCTGGGCTAGGAATATAGCTTAGTGGCAGAGTGCTTACCAAGCATTCATGAAGCCCTGGGTTCAATTCCTCAGTACCACATAAACAGAAAAAAAAAAGCCAGAAGTGGCTCGGTGGCTCAAGTGGTAGAGTGCTAGCCTTGAGCAAAAAAAAATCTCAGGGACAGTGCCACATCCTGAGTTCAAGCTAAGGATTGGCAAACAAAAAGAACAAACAAAAAACAATAGGGCTGGAAAGGTGGCTCAGTGGTAGAGTGCTTGCCTTGCATGCCTGAGGCCCTGGGTTCAGTTCCTCAGCATCACATAAGCAAAAAAGAAAAAAGCCGGAAGTGGCGCTGTGGCTCAAGTGGTAGAGCACTAGCCTTGAGCTGAAGAGCTGAGGGACAGTGCCCAGGCCCAGAGTTCAGGCCCCATGATCAGACCCAAAAAACCCAATGTCCATTGTTTATATATATATATATATATATATATATATATATATATATATATATATATATATACATCTATACACACATACATATATATGTATACATATATACAATTTTTTTTTACTATATTCACCTTCCTTTATCCATTCACCCTTCCTGTTCCCACCTTCACCCTCAACAGAACCTATTTTATGATCCTGTTATTTGCGGATTTTTTCCTTTTATTTTTATTTGTAAAGGTGATGTACAGAGGGATCATAGTTATATAAGTTAGATATTGAGTACATTTCTTTTTGAGCAATGCTGATATTTGCTTTTTATTCATGTTAGTTGTGCAAATTGTTTTCACTTTGCTATTTCACAATGCAAGTATTTACTTTAATTAGATGAACCATCTCAGGTGTCCTCTCTTTGCTTATCCACAACCTACTCCATTCCTATTATTAACAGCTTTCAGTGAGTTTCTATATGCAGTCTTCATGCATACACATACATGTGTATAAGTGTTGTAATAGTAGTTCCTTTTTTGGGGAGTGAGGGTCCGGTCATGCGGCCCGAACTCTGGGCCTGGGCACCGTCCCTCAGCCCTTCAGCTCAAGGCTCGCACTCTACCACTTGAGCCACAGCGCCACTTCTGGCTTTTTTTCTTTTTGCTCATGTGGTGCTGAGGAATTGAACCCAGGGCCTCAGGCATGCAAGGCAAGTGCTCTACCATTGAGCCACCTTCCCAGCTCCCTGTAATAGTAGTTCTATGTGGGGATACCTAGGAGCTGGTAGTAGAGGGAACGAGAATGACAGACACTAAATAATACTTATACACATGTAACATATACATGTAACTTTGGTTTAAGATGTCATTATACATGTATACATATAAAGGCATGTATATGCATATCTTTTAAGACTCAATTCCTTATATGAGGGAAAATAACTTTTGCCCATAAAAACCTACTTTAGTTCAATTAACAAGTTAATATCCAGTTGCATCCTTTTGCCAATGAATGGTATAATGTCTTTGCTGTTTATAACTGAATAAATGTACACTATGTATCAATGCCAGATTTCATATTCTTTTATCATCCTTAAATAGTTGTATGGAGGAGTTGCTATTTCACAAGTCATGGATACAAAATATAAAATCTTGATCAATGTCATACATTTCAATATTCCACACATCCCAAACCATATTCTCACTCTTCTTCATTTCATAAGACATACATAAGATATACAATGGATTGCTGACTACGTTCTCCCACTCTTCTACTCTTCATTTGTTCACCATTTTCAAATACCCATTTCCTGGTGTTTTGCAAATATAAAATTTCAACCCCTGTAAAGAAAGGCACTCTGCTTATTTTTTCATTTAGTCCTTCTGCCTACTAGGATGGGAAGTACTATCACCCCTTAATATCAAAATGGAAGTTGAGATGTGGTTCTTTGCATTAAAGTGAAAGACACAAGCAATGATTGTACAACTAATCAGAAAGTGTGTTAGTCCTCAAATTGTGTGGTCAGGACTCCAGCACATATTCCTGACTTTCAGTAATAAAAATCTACTCATTTGGTCATGGAACAAACATACACTAATTGCTTGGAATTTCATGAAATATTCTATAGTTCTGAATCATTTCCACTTTCTTTAAAATCTTCACAGTCTTCACTAGGTACTTTACATTTCACTGTGGCAATTTGACTGGTTAACTGACTAGCACTAAGGCTCAGACATATATCAAAACCCTTTGGGAGTTGTTTTCCTTTCTACACAACAGGAGAAATAATTGCTTGCCTCAGCAATCTGGATATTGATGGCTTCGACATCATATTATTGGGAGCAGAATGGAATAAGATACCAGATATAAACTGCCTATGTGTCATGTGTAAGTCACATTTTGTTTATGCACTGATCAACTATAATATCCTAAACTGCTTTGATAGCTTGGCTACCAGAAATAGTGCAGCAATGAAGATGGGTGTGAACATGACTCTATTCTATCCTGACATAAATTCTTTCTGATGTATGTCCATGGGTAGTATTACTAGATCCTATGGTACTTCTATTTTTAGCTTTTTAAAGCACTTCTATACCACTTCATTCCTAAGTGTTTGCACTAATTTATACTCACACAAATAGGTATAAGGTTCCTTTTCCAACATCCTCACTAGCAGTTGCTCTTGTTTGTGTACTTGCTGATTGCCCCTCTGTCTGGAGTGAGATGAAATTTCAATGTCATTTCGATTTGTACCTCCTTTATGGCCAAGAATGCTGACCATTGCTTCATCTACAGATGTACTTATTTGTACTTCTTTGGAGCTCAGTTCACTCTTTTGTCTCTTCAGTTCAGTTGCCTATTTATTGATTGGATTATTGGTTCTTTGGGAGTTTAGATCATCTTTGTACCTTGATCATTAGTCACTTTTCAGATGTACAGCTGATGTTGTCCTCTGCTCTAGTCTATTAGGCCATGTTTTAATTCTAGATTTAATAAAATCTGTAATAACACCGTTCAAATAACTAAAGCCCTTACACTATGGCTTGATATAGAAAAACTGGAGGATTTCCATGACATTAAAACCTATGCACACTTTCTTCTCCAGATACCTGATTTTTATATTTAATTGGTTCTAACGCTAGTTTCTTTCCTTTTTTGGCTAGTACC